ATGCACCCGAGCGGGGAGTGGCAGATGGTAGGTGGGCGGATAGTATGCACCCCTTTCGAGATGGCTAAGCCTTAACTTTGAGGCGACACAAGGAAACAGCCAACCTTGAAATGGGTTTTAGCGCCTGGATTTTCTAAGACGTTCCATCACCTACTCACCGATACAAGAACCGTCACAAAGTAGGAAAATCCGGGCATGCGATAGCCCTATCATATGCACAGGAGAGCTCCGAAGGTTAGACAGAAACACTTTTCGATCGGTAGCCAACAATCAGATGAAAAAGGACTTCAGGCAGTTGCTCTGCCAGCCACCTACCCTCTCCGTCGTGCCGAGCGGCTGCTCCTTCCCCCCCCCCCCCCCCCCCCCCCACATACACACAGCCGGCTCGGAAACAATGGTCTAGAGCACGCCTTTGTGTGTGACTCCGTTCATTTATGTGAAAGATACAGCTATCATGTTTCTATGCTTCTACTCGGCGAGCCCTCACAAACAGCCATTGATCTGAGGCCGTGATTGCTCACAGGCCATTGATCTGACGTGGTGATTGATCACAGGCCACCAATCTGACGTGTTGGGAATACCTTCAGGTCAGGTAAAATAGTTCCCGAAGCCACAAATCTCATGCTTTCCTGACGAGTTGTGAGATAGGTATTCCATTTGCCATGGCGGGGTAACAAGCCCATGGTCAGGCAAAGTACGTTTGCAGCCCCACCCCAGTATTCCACCCTGTGCACTGCACCCGAACCCCCTCCCCCCGCCCCCGGCTGTTGAAGAGCAGGTGCTCCATGACGTCACTTCCCAGCCCTTAACTCGCCAGCAGCCCGGGGCCCCGATCACGGCCGCGTACTTGGGCGGTACCCGGCAGTCCGACGCCCTAGTCACGGCCGCGTACTAAGTCCGTACCCAGCAGCCCAGGGCCCGATCACGGCCGACGTACTTGGGCGGTACCCGGCAGTCCGACGCCCCTAGTCACGGCCGCGTACTAAGTCCGTACCCAGCAGCCCAGGGCCCCGATCACGGCCGCGTACTTGGGCGGTACCCGGCAGTCCGACGCCCTAGTCACGGCCGCGTACTTAGTCAGTACCCAGCAGTCCAGCGCCCCGGTCAAGGCTGCATACTCGGGCGGTACCCAGCAGTCCGACGCCCTAGTCACGGCCGCGTACTTAGTCAGTACCCAGCAGTCCAGCGCCCCGGTCAAGGCTGCATACTCAGGCGGTACCCGGCAGTCCGACGCCCTAGTCACGGCCGCGTACTTAGTCAGTACCCAGCAGTCCAGCGCCCCGATCACGGCCGCGTACTTGGGCGGTACCCGGCAGTCCGACGCCCTAGTCACGGCCGCGTACTTAGTCAGTACCCAGCAGCTCAGGGCCCCGATCACGGCCGCGTACTTGGGCGGTACCCGGCAGTCCGACGCCCTAGTCACGGCCGCGTACTAAGTCCGTACCCAGCAGCCCAGGGCCCCGATCACGGCCGCGTACTTGGGCGGTACCCGGCAGTCCGACGCCCTAGTCACGGCCGCGTACTTAGTCAGTACCCAGCAGTCCAGCGCCCCGGTCAAGGCTGCATACTCGGGCGGTACCCGGCAGTCCGACGCCCTAGTCACGGCCGCGTACTTAGTCAGTACCCAGCAGTCCAGCGCCCCGATCACGGCCGCGTACTTGGGCGGTACCCGGCAGTCCGACGCCCTAGTCACGGCCGCGTACTTAGTCAGTACCCAGCAGTCCAGCGCCCCGGTCAAGGCTGCATACTCGGGCGGTACCCGGCAGTCCGACGCCCTAGTCACGGCCGCGTACTTAGTCAGTACCCAGCAGCTCAGGGCCCCGGTCAAGGCTTCATACTCGGGCGGTACCCGGCAGTCCGACGCCCTAGTCACGGCCGCGTACTTAGTCAGTACCCAGCAGTCAGCGCCCCGGTCAAGGCTGCATACGGGCGGTACCCGGCAGTCCGACGCCCTAGTCACGGCCGCGTACTTAGTCAGTACCCAGCAGTCCAGGCGCCCCGGTCAGGCTGCGTACTCAGGCGGTACCCGGCAGTCCGACGCCCTAGTCACGGCCGCGTACTAAGTCGTACCCAGCAGTCCAGCGCCCCGGTCAAGGCTGCATACTCAGGCGGTACCCAGCAGTCCGACCCGGTCAAGGCTGCATACTCAGGCGGTACCCGGCAGTCCGACTCCCCGGTCAAGGCTGCATGCTCAGGCGGTATCCGGCGGTCAGGGCCCTGCTTGGCTGCCGCCGAGGTCCCGTGTGGCCCGCTCACCATCCCACGTCTGGTGAACGAAAACCGACCCGTGCAGCTGTTTGTTTGGCCGTAGATCTAGCGAATCTGACTTGAGGGTGTGCTCTATTTACTAGCTGCGCATGTCAGAACTGAGCAGGCATAGGCTGTGGGGTTGGTACGGCGGGCCAGCAGCAGAAAACCTTACGGTTCGATATTTTTTGCATTATGAGACAACATAGTATTTCACGAAAAATAAACTGAGGCGCCAAACATTTCACGAAAGTTGAGGACCCAGTATCCAGTGGCCTCCATTGTTTGCTGAACCTGCTGTCGTGGCGTAGCGGCCAGGCAAATACGTCCCGGGTGCAAGCTGGACAGGACGAGAAATCAGGGATGATGGACAGACGGAAGGACATGTTTAACACAACCTTTGTCTCCAGGATGGCGGTCCTCTGGCAGCCTCGCATTGCCCTATTTTTGAGTGTTTGTTGTTTGGCATTGCCATGGGGGGAAAAACTTATTTATGACGTGAATGAGTGGCAGAAGACGGACTGTGTTATAAATGGGCTGTATAGAATCCACGAACGACCGGGCATGGAGTGGAGTCCAGTACTCAAGTATAACAGTGGGCGACAGTGGGCTTAGCAGTTTCTTGCCATCGCAGACGTCTGGCATAACTGAGACATTGGGCATAACATTTCAGCCCAAGTTCCATTCACAAGCTCCGGTCACTTCGTCTCGCAGTGAACATCATCCGTTTCTATAATCTACGCACCGCCTTCTCAAAGCTTGTTCAGAGTATGCATGCGTACGTTTTTTAAATGTTTTCCGTGATATTCCCCCCCCCCCCCCCTCTTCTCCCTTCATTTTCCTCCTCTAGACGCGTCACCGCCGGCAAATCAAGCCGTTACCACCGCCTCATCCCCACATATGCGCCAGCAGCATGTCCCGTTGAGCAGAACTGATGGCGGGTGAAAACATATGAAACCACAGGGCACGCTGTAATTTAGCAATAAATCGCACCTGTTGCAAATCAGTTGTACACCGGAAGCGCGCGAACTTCCAAAACTTAGCATCTGGAACTGACTGAACGGCAGGGCGGCGAGATACCTAGTGTTACGTTACCTTACCTTACCTTATCTTACCTTACCGAGGACGTGCGCCATCTTCGCGAGCATCGTAAATATCGCTCCAAACGATAACAATAGAAGTTGCGTGATGTATGTTAACAAGCTTCCTTGACAATCAGTCTGTGCATTAAAAATTAAGATTTCATTGCCACCAGCCGAACTAAAACACTTCCGGAAATATTCACTTCAAATGCGGCGATGGAAATCAAGCAAATAATGGCATAACCACAGGGGTTTGTCAGTCATCTATTTTGTACCATAGCATTGAAAGCTATGCTACAAATAATTAGCCTGCTGTAGACCGCGGATGAGTAGTGCGTAGCAATAGGCCACAAAGAAAGCTTTTAGCGAGAAGAAGGTGAAATTCCAGGTAGTGTTCCGCTTTGCACAGGGGAGGAGATGGTGATGGAGACCCGCTTTGGGCATCTGTCCCACTAGCAAAGTAGAAGCATAGATGTACCACTCAAGCCGGATTGGCAAGGTGTCATGATTTTCCGGATCTTGATGTTGATTGGTTAACACGCCGTTTTCGCCGTTTTTTTTTTCTTTTGCCATAACCTTAGAGAAACATGTGCCATGCTCGAGTATTGCAGATCAATCAACATCAAGCTGACAAACGAGACCCTCGAAAACGCTTTGAGACCATATAGGCGGCGCTTTCGCCTCAGCAGACACTTTTATGAGAACTTCACAGGGATCCAGACCAAGGGACCTCCGCTCAAGTTTTCGAAGAATGTGGCCTCTGGAAGCGCAAATCCGGCGGATTTATGGTACCTGTCGCCGCTCTCGAGAGACTTGCGTTTTGGTATCGCAGACTTGCCCCTTCACTCGCAATTAAGTCATCCGCCTGATATGCGATATCGACAGATCGCGTTCCAAAGCCGTCGCGGTATGCGCGTGACCATTACACTACATCGAGACCATACACTACCATATACTACATCGAGACCATACACTACCATATACTACATCGAGACCATACACTACCATATACTACATCGAGACCATACACTACCATATACTACATCGAGACCATACACTACCATATACTACATCGAGACCATACACTACCATATACTACATCGAGACCATACACTACCATATACTACATCGAGACCATACACTACCATATACTACATCGAGACCATACACTACCATATACTACATCGAGACCATACACTACCATATACTACATCGAGAAGGCTGCCTTCTGCACCGTGACCTGCTTTGCTGTGGCTGGAGTATGGTGTTTTCCGCCGTCACCGACAAGTGGCTGGAGTTCGTCGATGATTTTCATAACTTCATCGATCGCCGGTGCCCCCACAGAAACACCGAAATGCAAAGCCGCCGATTTGCGCCTCGCTGGCCGATCTACGCTATGCACTGTTTACCTTAGCAACCATCCACAACAAAACAGCATCCGCATCCGTAGACCTCCGGAACCGTCGCGGTCAATAAACAGCGAAGTCCCCCTGACGACGTTGCCGTGCGTTGTCCACGAGCGCGCGCGTCGCCGCGAGCGGTGCCGGCGTGCGATCACCTGCAGCTGCTGTCGACACGTCGCACATGCTCCGCCGCCATGCCACCGCATCAACCTCCTGCCATATGCATGAGCGGGCGGGCGGCGAGGGGGCAGTGCGCCGGCCGCACCGGTGGTGACTGCGGGCCGCTGCGAGGCACGCTGCCGCCATGCTGGGGCCCATGCTGCTGGTCGCCGCGCTGGCGGCATCAGCCGTCGCATCTCCAGTGGACGGTGAGATGGGCAGCTTGGACATGCGGCTGTGCAGCTGCTCTGCATGGCACGCGGGGATGCCATGACATGAAGAGATTTTATCGGGACAGTCGCACGAGGCCGAGTAAAACTGCGAGGATGATTTCGAGGTTCCCTCGGTTTGCTTTTTAATTGAATTATGTGCGGGGCGCTAAGGCACGTCGTAAACCGTACTACCGGGGTCTCACTTAAGTTTGTCGGTCGCATCGGGTGAAATTACGATTATAATGGATAGACCGTATACTTTTTTTGCCACCGAAGCTTATGCTGACTCATCTTACATGAATGATACAGCCGCAGGCGACGTAAATGTCTCTAAGCACCAGTAAATCAGGTGCAAAATCGGGTTTTCGAATCCCCAAAATCAAGCTTTCCTCGCATCCACCATGGAGTGAATTGTTAAAACCGATTTTGTTCGGCGAAAGTAAGCTGTTTTTTTTTTGCAGAACAGCATTTCCATCAAATTTATTTCAGTGTTGTGTTTTGCAGGTGAAAAGAATGCCTTCAGTCTTTTTTACCGTGACCCGATACTTCAATAATATGTTATGTGTGATTCGGTAAAGATACAATTTTCTCTCACTAAATTAAGACAGTTCATCACCAAAATGATACACGATGCAAAGCTGTGTGGCACCCGCGCGTCCAAATGCTCCCTCATTCCATAAGCTCAAAGAATGGTTTTATCGGCACGCGTCCACGTGGCGGCTGGTTAAATGCGACGCGCTCGATTGGGGAGGGACAAATTTGACCCCTTAAAACATGAAAACTGAGGGATATATCAAGGTCATAGAGAAGGCAGATTTTTATGTCAACTAAGTTGCTTAAAATTTGAAGGGTCTGAACTCGCTATCTTTTGGTCAAGTAATGTCAAACAATGTTAACTCCAGATCGGTGTCCCAAGTTAACTCAGATCTCCTCATGTGCAACTAGCTTGTAACCTAAATGCCTGCCATCAGTGAAATGGCATTGGTGCTCATAGTAGGTCAGTGACCTTGTGCGGTTATTGACAGGCAACAGTGACCAAAAACTTTCGGGCTATTTTGATAATTGTAGTTACAACCAGCAACAAGCACCACTCTAGACCGCATGTTTCTAAAATCAGACTGTTGATAAAGGTCATTTTAGCAAGTTTTCCGGCAATAAAGCCGTTTGGTTTTGACCTGGATCCATATCCATATTGATTTGGCTCCATAGCCGTAGGAAAATCTCGAAAAGTGGATGGGCCAGATTCAGGGTGTGCTTTTACTGGGAAGCGGTCCCGATTACCAGGAGAGTTGGGGGTGGGGGTGGGGGATGTGGTAGAAATGGATGGCATTTTCCGCTCTTAATTCATGTAACACACTTTGGAACCTATTAAATGTTATGGGTGCTATGCTAGGCGTACTTCTACAGCTAGTCCCTACTGGTGCACCATTTTGCCTATTCGACTCATCTGTGTCATTCGGGGAATAATGCTATCCAGATTCCAAGATTATTCGCTCACTTCAACATTGCTTTCCCTCGGGAAGGTGAAATTGCACGAAGGAGTAGGCATTTTGAGTTATTGGGAAGGAATCTGCGTCCTTGAGTAGATACCAAAATACGACCTGAGCACAGGCTGGTCAGAATTTTGAATGTGAATCAATGGCCAATAGTGTTTCAATGGCCAGTCTCTTTCTGTGTCGATAGAACTCAGAAGCTTCGCAAGATATTTTCTGTGTTGTTCATAGATGTTGAAGACCCCTAAACGTAGATTGTAGATCAAAATGGGGTGCACAATTTGCATTGACATGCCTAATCCATGTTCTTAAAATCCTCAACATTCAGTGAGAGTCGATCACTGACAAAATCATGTGACATGGTTTTGAGCATGCGGGCTCGCCAAGCTTGCTGCAGCCTTGACGCCCGGCAGTCTCCATAGGTTGCGCGAGGTTGACTTCGCGGCTGACGGCAGACGAAGGGATGGCGCGTCTGAAAGAAGTACTTTTGAACGTTTTGGGAAACTAAATCGTAGGTTTAGGATGTAGACTAGGTGTATATTCCACCTGTGGAATCTGGCAGTGGAAGATCAAAAGTAGAATCTCTAGCTTTCTGTTGCTGTTGCTACCAATTTGACCGGAGGACAACCTTCAGAATTGTTGGAAACATACATCCAGTCTTATCTTCGATTGGCCGAAATTTATTTTGAAAAAAACTTTCGGATGCATCATTTCGCGACGGTCGTTCTCAAGCGCACGGCGCCAGACCCCGGCCCCCAGCCGCCTGCAGCGGCCAATGACGTACGGCTCTACGAAACGGTGACCCCGGCCATCGCTCTTTTTGCGCCTGATATCTCGAGCGTGCAGCGTCTAAAACTATTTTATATCATTTGTTTCACTTGTCGATTTTGCATAATGACGAACGTTTTCATGCAAACATGGGTTAGTAATTTTTAATTTTTAACCACATTTTGATCCACTCCACTCAACACTTTTGAGACCCCTAACGTTTTCTGAGAGAGGTGACCGTAAATAGAACACTAGGGGCACATTATCATCACCGGTCCAGGGCTAAAGTGCCATTCTGTTCCAGTGCAGGGTTCATTCCGACTGCCATTCTGGCGATAGGGAGCGGAGTCCCCTGGTCGATCTGGAAGCCATTATAGGGATGCATCATAACATTTTGACCGCCATGAACGTGTGCTGAGGGGATTGTAAGCAGGCATTCAGAAGACCTAAGACATTGTGAAAATACAGGGCGGAGCCTTTGGTACTGGAGGAACCTCGGGTTTCCCGCTAAATATATCGGTCCATCGTACATGACGGGGTAAGACACTGCCATTCACGATATGAGGCGGTCGTTTCAAGTGCGGTTGAAGGAAGATAACTCGTGAACTAGGTAAATCGGCATGCAGTACAGTTTAAGGTTGTACAAAAGTAAGTTAAACACAACACAAATGTGGAAAAGTGGTTGGGTAGTTAACATTGCCAGGCCTCTACCGTTGAAAATTTTGGGTCCCCTGGTCCCCTGCGTTATTATTACTACCATCCCGTGTCTTTCGCAAGATCCGTTTTACAATTAAACGACCGTGTGGAGTTCTTACGAGGATCTTGTTGCATATGAATATACGCCAGAATAACAAAAATGTGGAAAAGTGGTTGGGTAGTTAGCATTGCCAGGCCTCTACCGTTGAAAATTTTGGGTCCCCTGGTCCCCTGTGTTACCATTACTACCATCCCGTGTCTTTCGCAAGATCCGTTTTACAATTAAACGACCGTGTGGAGTTCTTACGAGGATCTTGTTTCATATGAATATACGCCAGAATATTTTTTCTTCCTGCCTGCAGAGGCTATAGGCAATAACACGCCCCTGGGCGGCCAGTTGAATTTCCTTCTCTTGGGTGAGGGTCAATTTGAGCCCCTTGAGACCTCAGAAACTAAGAGAGCTAGTGTCAAAAAGTTCGCAGAGTGGATTTTCCCCGTAAGTAAACCCACTCTTAGGTCATGACCTTTGGGTCAAACAAGGTAAAGAAAGGTCAAACTCCATTTTGGTGTCCAAAGTGCCCCATATCCCCTCATGCAACCACTGTGAACCTCGATGCCCGTTCTACATAAGCAAAAGGTCACTGCTGCCCTTTAAGATCAGTGACCTTGTTGACCTTCACATGGTCATGATGACGAAATTTATGTAGGACTCTTTTGATACTTTCATTTGGATAAGCGTCAGGGATTGCGCTAGGTGCAATGCTCCTAAAAACAAAAGGCTGACCTGGCTCATTGTATATCAGTGACCTATTTTTGCCTTTAAGCAAACCATAGATGATGTTAAGTGCGGTCCTTTTTAAGTAAATTCAAAATAAGCACCAGAAACCCCTCATGAAGCAAGTCCTGAAGAAAAACAACAGGTTGGTTGTGACCTCGGTCTGACGTTCTTACCTGACCTTATGTTAACACAATTTGCTGCGATCCTTAAACTTTGTGTTGCATCGCCTATGAAGCTACTTCAGAGATGCATTGTTTCGTCTAGCGTTCCGCTGTCGCGTAAGAGTAAACGATATCCTAGAAATTGCCTCCGCTGCCAGTCACAGCCTGACTTTGACTTGCCAGACGTCAGCAACCTTGCGTGATACATTTATATGCATTATGCCATAAGATCCGCTATTTAATCACCTAGAGCTATGCAAAATTTGGCGCGCCTTTCCGGCGCCATTCGGAAACCATCCTAAAAAACTTCAGGAGGGGGTGGGCAAACCGACCTTTCATTGCGTGTCAAAGGGATCCTTTACATTTGAAGCTGTTAAAGCAAGCATCTGATGTGTTTAAATAAGCTCATTTATGCCTATTGATGCACTATGAAGTGGAAAAGGGCGCTGTGGACAACGCAATTTCTCTGTTGAGTAAATATGCTCCACAATACGTCATTGTCACTTGCAACAACGCTCATAGATACCGAATTGACGGACGGTTTAAGTGAAAATCCCGCTCATGCTAAGGTCAAGAAGTATCTAGCTGTCGAGTCGTTCATATCCTGGTGTTCCTGAGCACGGTTTCCAAATATTACGGCCAGTAATTGGCTCTTCCCCAATGTTGTGTAGCCTATGAAAAATTCTAACTCGCAATACGTTTTGTGCTACATAATTCAAAAGTCATACATTCTTCCCGGGTTATTACGTAAATAGGACTGGCAATCAAATAACTTAGGAGATGCCAAAACACGAGCGCTTCAAATGTTTAATTCAGCACACATCTAGCATCGACACCGCCACCTATCGGGGATCAAATAACTACAAGTGAGTGCTGTCATGCAATGTCCATGACAATCAAATAATTATGTGCTGACAAACGTATTTACTAAGTGGAGAAGCTGTGTTTTCTAGAGCAGTATTTTAGACTCACGAAGTATACAAACATTCAAGGTGAGCTTATTTCATCATATCTGAGGCTTGATTCAATATCTCTAAATGTGGAGCATTCTCTTAAAGGGAGTATCCCACATTGGTATGGGGTTTTGAGCTGAAAAAGCCATCTTGAAGGTCATCCGGTGTAGTTCACAGCTCTGTCCTTATTGAGACCTACACCGCTCTAGTTCCCTGGCTACACGTCCGAGAAGTGTGCAGAGTTTTTCGGTGCGACTGTTTCAAGGTGTGTATGACAATCAAATAGGACTGGCAACTAGGCATCCTTGACGCTATAATAATGCTATTCAAATCGCAGTCATTCCATTAACCATGTGACGATCAAGGCAAATACAAATATGATGGTCGAGTCGTTTATATCTGGCGTTCGTGAGCATGGTTTCCTGATACAACGGCCTTCAATTGGCTGTTAATCGATGTTGTGCATTGTACTCTGACGTAATCAAACAATGACTTAATGAGGAGCATGTCTACCAAGCCGACAAATTGCATTGTCCAGAGCAGTCTTTTCCACTTAAAAGTATACGAATGGTTATGATCGGGATTTTTCATCGCATGCTTGCTGATACTTGCTCGATATGTTCAAATGTGGAACATTCTGTTTTAAATTACCTCTGCTGTTTTTCAGGGTTATCAAATCATCGCGAGACTTTCAATCAGACTCACACTTCGCCAGCATCGCCTGGAAAGATGCCTCGCAGAATTAGCAAAGATCGGCTAATGGACTTATCGCTGACATGGAATAACGGAAAACAGTTCGCTGGCACAAATCTAGCGGCGGTCCTCCAGGATAGTGTGCCGGACGACGGAACAACAGAACTGAAAAAAGAAATCCACCCAGTGAAAAACAGCAAAATAAGGAAAAAGCGTGGTGGGAGCAAAGAAAGCAAAGAGAGCAAAGCAAGCAAAGAAAGCAAAGAGAGCAAGGGAAGTCAGGAAAGCAAAGAGAGCAAAGAGAGCAAAGAGAGCAAAGAGAGCAAAGAGAGCAAAGAGAGCAAAGAGAGCAAAGAGAGCAAAGAGAGCAAAGAGGGTAAAGGAAGTAAAGAGAGCAAATCAAGCAAAGAAAGCAAAGAGAGCAAGGGAAGTCAGGAAAGCAAAGAGAGCAAGGTGAGCAAGGAAAGCAAAGAGAGCAAAGAGAGCAAAGAAAGCAAAGAAAGCAAAGAGAGCAAGGAGGGCAAGGAGAGCATGACAAGCAAGGAAAGCGAAGACAGCAAAGAGAGCAAGGCAAGTCAGGAAAGCAGGGAAAGCAGAGAGAGCAAAGGGAGCAAAGAGAGCAAAGAAAGCAAAGAGAGCAAAGAGAGCAAGGAGAGCAAGGAGAGCAAAGGGAGCAAGGAGAGCAAAGAGAGCAAAGAGAACAAGGAGAGCAAGGAGAGCATGACAGGCCAGGAAAGCGAGGAGAGCAAAGAGAGTAAGGAAAGCAAGGAGAGCAAGGCGAGCGAAGAAAGCGGTGTCAGCGGAGAGAGCGGAGATGGCGGAAAGAGCGAGACGAACCCCGGGAGGAGAATGACTACAACAACGGAAAACAGCAGGGGGAAGAGAGAAAGCGGAGAGAATTCATCCGGAGGCAGCCCGACTGTCGGAAACGGCTCAACGGAGGGAAGCGCGGGCAGCTCAACCTTTGCAAGTCCTCTGGAGAGGTGTGCCGGTGCGACGGGTGGCACTGAGCAGCCGTCCTCCAACACGACGGAGAGCGGTGCCGTGTCCACGGTCGGGACGACCGATGTGACCTCGACCCTGGCGCCCTGTCCTGAGGGCGTAACCACGCCGGGCTCCGGCGGCCAGGGCGGCAGCTCCGCCGGCGGTGGAGACGGCAGCTCCACCGGCGGTGGCGGCGGCATCTCAGGTACAGTTTACCCTGCTCTTCTGGACCGAGCTGATGCAATTGTCGGCCACCCGCGTCACATATATGCAAAGCTAAGAATGTTTGATGGGCTAAAGAACGACCTTAGCCTCATCTTTTATGTCATTTTGTGGGCAACAAGAGTTCATAACAAACCAGCAGCATACCAGCGATGACGATAGGCATACCGAGACATCTGGTTTAATGTCATATCATCAATCTGGCTGGTGGTGATGCAGTCTGCAGATAAAAAATGGCAATGGTTACGTAGACAATTGTGGCCCAGCTTCTGCAACTTCATGTCCCTTGTAGCATGTCTTTTCGATATTTATCGGATTTGACCGCTTGGCTCATATAAGTACCATCGATAGTCATTCATTTTGTATCGCTGACTTGCAAAATGGCTACGATACTTCTTGGTTGGTGTCGATTTTTGCATTTTGATAACTGTGAGCTATACTCAATGTCATCCGAACGGCACAAATGTAAATTATGTACTGTGGTTCTAACGATAGCTACTTAACGCTTCAGCACTTTCCAGATGCTGCTAGCATTTTAGAATGTGACTGGCAAAAGTAAATCAATCTGATGATGTGTATCATGAATATGACCCAAACCCTGTTAAAAGGTACTGTGAGTAATGCTATTGTCAAACGGGGCTCCTGTGTAAAACTCCCAAAGCACCGACTAACTTCACATTGTATTTGTGTTTATTCCTTACTTGTATTTTCACCTGGCGGCTCGCATGAAAGCATGGACGTGCAGAATAGGCATTGCTTGGGGACAACACTGTCTGCAATGTTGAATGACCGCGTGCTGTCTGGCTGGTGAGCAGGGGTGTAGTTTCATATCAGGTTGAGGAGGGACTCTGATCCTTCCCCTCTCAGCTTGAGAAAATAGCGGGCAAAGTCCCGGGAGAAGCCAATTTGTTGACGTATCTAAGGGTGAGTTTGGTCATTTTTCATTGTTAAATCCCCCTCAATTTATTCTATGAAACTGCATCCCTGGCAGTGAGTGTTGTGTTGAAGCGTGATCGTCGGGTGGAAGCGCAGGAATACGTGATGCAGCGCTGTGATGTGTGGCAAATGCAACTTGCTTTCATTTTGTATTGCGTTTCAGACGCAACTTGAATATGATGGATATCATTAAATCTTGAAATCCGATAAGGTCTCAAATATCTCTCAGTTTATTTATAGTGTAGTTCCCGTAAGGCTTATATTGCTCTCGTGTCTAATGCCTCGCCTAACATCTTCAAAGTTTTTTCAATTAACCGAGGAATCGTTTTAACTTAAATAACTTCACTACATTGCAATGCTCGTGCTGTCATTCCTAACATGTTTCTCTTCCCGACACACAACCCCGTCAACCTACTGCGGAAGACGCCGTCTGGACTTCTGCGGCCACGGCGATGTGGCGGCGGTCGAACATCGGTGCCGTGACGCCGGCCGTGCAGCCGTCGGCGCAATGGCAGCTCGTGAGGTGACGCCGGCCGTGCAGCCGTCGGCCCAATAGCAGCCCGTGCCGTGACGCCGGCCGTGCAGCCGTCGGCCCAATAGCAGCCCGTGCCGTGACGCCGGCCGTGCAGCCGTCGGCCCAATAGCAGCCCATGCCGTGACGCCGGCCGTGCAGCCGTCGGCGCAATAACAGCTTGTGCCGTGACGCCTGCCGTGCAGCCGTCGGCCCAATAGCAGCCCGTGCCGTGACGCCTGCCGTGCAGCTGTCGGCCCAATAGCAGCCCGTGCCGTGACGCCGGCCATGCAGCCGTCGGCGCAATAGCAGCTTGTGCCGTGACGCCTGCCGTGCAGCCGTCGGCCCCATGGAAGCTCGTGAGGCGACGCCGGCCGTGCAGCCGTCGGCCCAATAGCAGCCCGTGCCGTGACGCCTGCCGTGCAGCCGTCGGCCCAATAGCAGCCCGTGCCGTGACGCCGGCCGTGCAGCCGTCGGCCCAGTAGCAACCCGTGTCATGTCGGCTTCATGCAATAGTGTGGAGACAATGAAGTATTCTGCTGAGGCCCGCAACTGGTTAGCACGCATTTGGTTTAGTTTCTGTTTATGGACAAGTTAGACTGTAATCCTTGGTGCTTCAGTATCCGAATCAGGCAGTTAACACTGTTTTGCATTATTGTTAGTATGCCCGTAAATTTACGTCACACAAATGATTCAGGAACGGTTCATATCGTAAATGTTATAGGTGTCGTGTCAGTGAGCAGCACGTCATCACTGCATGGATGTTTAACACCATCTGGATCGAAATACATTTAAAAATAGCGGCAGTTTTTGTAGCAGTTAATTTCTAATTCGATGCGACCGAGGCCAAGCTTTGAAGGCCCCACTCCCCAATCGATAGGGCACAATGAAGGAGGCAAGTTAAGTAAGGCTACGCCAACGCTGTGGTTCACCGTAACCACGATCACGGGAAAGTACTTTCCGCAATAAGGGCGTGGCAAAGTTGCGAAAAAGGACATCGTCCCGAAGAAAGGCGACGAAAACACGTTAATTTCAGCTTTATTTGACTTTAACTGCGAAGGAGTTTGCCAGCCTTTGCCATACCCGCCACCGCGTTTTACGCGCGTGAACATAGGATCACCAAAACCAGGTCATGCTGCCAGTGCCGTGTACGACACCTGAATTCCAGCACGTCATGTGAAGCCATGTGGCACAGGAAACTGCGAATCAGTGCCACAACGGTCACACACGTCTTGCCAAACAAGGGCACAAAAAAACACATCGCCCTACAATCAAGCCTCACCGATTTTGCAGCGAGTGCACGCGGCGCTGACGCCCGACCGCTGACACCGGCCGGACCTATCGCATAGGGCTGCAGCGGCCGGCGACTGGTACCAGTCGTGAAAAATCACATGTTCGGAACTCGTGATGTACACTGGCATGGCGCTCCCCGAATGCAGAGTGCACATGGTGTGCGTGTATGTATGGAGCGACGCATAATAAATGCTGTGCGCGCTTAAAATATGCTCCTGGTTTCCATAGTATGTGATGGTAAATGGTAAAATCTACTCCTCCAACTCAAACTCTACTCTACTCAAAAATGGTAAAGTCTACTCCTTGCTTCTTTTACTCCAATTTGCAAGTTGCGATTCGCTTGAGGGCAACAAATGACTGGCGGACTATGATATTTTTTGTTAGTCTTGGGCGAATGCGTATTTACCGAGAGAATCTTATCAGAAAATATGATGTGGTCATTTCACAAGTAGACCCCGGATAGGCGCATTTCAACACGGCACCTCCGTCAAATCTAATGACAGGTCTATGAGGAAATCACACGGGCAAAACACGATTCTGAAAGCTTCAGAGTGGCACAGCGTACCGATAAGGAACTAGGAGCAAATAAAAATACGGGAGGACGTCACGAACCCTATTTTAACTTGCCCGGGCGAAAATAGTTTGCAGAGTCTGCGGAGCATAGCGTTTGGCAGAAGTGCATCACAAAAATAACCACCTTTATTTTCTGAAACACGGGTTGAATGTAACATTTTAAACCAAATAACTGCGCGTAGTAACCTAAGATGGTACATTGGTTGTGCGATGTAATGCATGACATTTTTGCATTACATTTTTAGCCTATATTCTAAGGATCACTCCCTTTTGCGGATTTCATCAGCTTTCACATAGATGACGAGTGTGACTACGAATGGACAGGAAACGGTCGGAATCACCTAGGTGGATTGCGAGACAAATCACAGCATTACTCCTAGAAAGATAGTCTGCGCGCATGAGCCTGACAAATAAACTATGATTGAGAAGCACGATTTTGCTCTTCTTCGTGTTGCATCTCGCAGAGCATTTCCTAAGCTGTATTAATAATTCACCCGCTCACTAACCAGCAATGTGGTGGATACAGCTACGAAACATGTCGCATATGTGACGTCAGATTTGGATCCTGTTCTGGGCGTTACATATTGTCATACCATGTCAGGCGTTTAACAGTGCCTCTCGCTTCGATGTATGGACATGCGAACAAAATGCGAAGGGCTTAGGTCTTAAGGAACTGCACTGCACTGCACTTTGGCTGTGAACTGTACCGAATGATCTTCAAAATGGCTTTTTCAGCTCAAAATCCCACATACGTGAGGAGCACTCACGGAAACAGAAGTGACCATGAGGAATGTTCTACAGTTGAAGATATTGAGACAAGCACTGCATACGATGAAATAAGCTTACTTGCAACTTTTGGTTTCCTGCTAAGTGTAAAAGACTGCTCTACACAACACAATTTCACTATCTGTTAAAAATCTTCCTCAATACGTCATCCTTTGATTACGTCATGGAACGTCTTTGTGACGTTAGGGTCGCTGCCAAACCAGCGGTGTCGGAATTGCCAGTGCAGCGGACGGGCTGACTCACTAGTAATGCCTCAACTTGCTAAGCGGGGGTGTTGGCTGTGCTGGTAGAGGTGTTTGCTGAATCAAATATTGTTATGTGCTCGTGTTTTGGGCCTTTCTCGTAGTGTTATTGCATAAATGTCTGTGCTTTTATGTTGTTTAATTGCATTGACATACTCAGTTATGCGGTTATTCTGAGGTTATTTGATACCTAGTCTTATTTCCGTGATCGCTCGCATCACTGCCCCAATTCCTGTATCATGTACAGCAATGCGCGATTCGTGTTCGAAACTCGCATTCAACACATTACTTTCGTTCAGGGCCAATTGATGTCCGGTGGTGTCAGAAATCACGCTGACGCACGCCAGAAACGAAGGATTCGATTATCACGTTTGTACAAGCCTTTAGCACTACACTGTCAACGGGGTGGCAGTGTTCGCGTAACGTTTCTATGCTGTCATGCATGTCTGGGTGACCTTGAGACAATCCTCACGAAATAGGCTGCACATCATCCCGGGCCTGTGTCTCATAAACCAGAGCGTTTTAGGTCTTAAGAAGCGCTGGGCTGGGAGCGACACCGAATGGTCTTCAAGATGGCTGTTCCAATTTAAACACCCATACAAAGGTGGAACATTCCCTTTAATTCAAACTCCCTTATGAATGTGGAACGCTCCTTTTTATGGAGAAAGAGCGAGACAAAGACAACAAATTTCTTGTGACCAATTGAATGCAATGGCTTTGAACTTTAAATACAAATGAAATGAAATGAAAACGCAACTTTGAAACGAATATTGAATGCGTTTGTTACAGAAAGGGCAAGACTTCTCCGTGGCCATATCAGTTAAATTGGCCAGTGTAGTTTGTGGACCGATGTTTAGACGGCATCAAATAGGTAAGGACGAATTTGTCACGTTCCGTTTGGTTTGGGGAGTCACGCGACGTGCTCCAAATAAACGTGCTAAACAGCTATTTACTGACCACCCATTGTTGTGGTTCGCTATGCGCTAAAGAAACAGCGCAAAGGCCACAAGCCTCCGTTTTGAACAGGGTCTTTTCAGGGAGCCTAGCAGCACTTTCATGACATGTTCCATGTTTCATAGCATGCCTACTGGACTCGTGGAGGACTTTGGAATCGTAGCCGCTCAGTCACGTAAATGAACGCTACCCCACGCACGCGACGCCGGCGCGCGCCCGGGCGAGCCACGCTATCTCCCGCCGCGGTCTACGCGCCGCTGTGCCTCCGGCTGGTCTGCCGCTGCTTCATCTCTGTCTCCGTCTCCAGTGCCGTCTCACCACTGGCGGTTCTGCTCATCAGCCGGCAGTCGCAAACACAACGATCCGTATAAATAGTGTATTGCCGCCTCCCCGGAGTCGGCGGCACACTGTGCCCATATTTGGTGAGTGTTCCCGAGGAGCGGCGCGCCCGGGGCCGCGCGAGGCGGGACGGGCAGGGACGGCCTCGGCCCGCGCCGCGGGGCGGCCGTGGAGGGGCGTCTGTAGCGAGACGCGAGGAGAGGAGGATAGGCTCAGAGTGAGCGAGGTCGAGACTCCTACTGCGTGGGCGTGGCGGCGGCAGCAGAACCAGCGCCCTTCTGGCCGTTGGCGTCGGCAGGAGGGTCAGTGCCCTCCGGACCGCTGGGGAGCAGCAGGTCGCGGGCGTTGAAGCCTGGCCCACAGGTGAAGGTGGGGCAGCAGTCGGGGAACTTGGCGGTGAGAGTCTCCTCGCGTTCGTACGTGCACTCCTTAACGGTGTCCAGCACGCGCGGGCCGCAGTCGAACACCTGAAAGGCGAGGAGTGCCGTCAACAGGCGGGCAGCGTCCTGGACGCGGCGGTTGGGAGGCCCCTTGTGGTGTCCTGTGTGGGGCTTCGTGTGAGGCCACGTGTGAAGCCACGTAAGTCTGGCCACCAGAGATATGTGTGCCACGCCCAGCGGCAGATCTGAACGGCTCGCGGACAAGCTTCACTACTTGGCTGACTCACGCGAATCCAGAACCGCCGACCTGAGTCTCCACAGAGCAGCTCGCCCCGGGCCAAGCAAATCAGTTGACAGGGTTCTCGTCAACTAACGCTTAGGGCAAATATAACGGTGGAATACCAACGTCTTCTGTCCGGTTTAGCTTATCAACACGGTGAGGTTGTTCACTGGACAGGCATTGTGTTAGGTTGGACGAAAGCTATCGACAAAAAGAAACAAGATACGCGTTTTGACAAATGCACCAGAACGTGTACCTTTGTGCATCGCAACGAGTCTACCGATCACCACGCACAACCCTTGCCGTGCTTAACTTGGGATGAAGAACGCTGAGCAAACACTCTGAAGCAAAGCAACCGAAACGCTAAGACACACAAACACACATGCAGCAAGAGGACGCCGCACCACGTTCGCACGCCCAGCCTGGACGTCACGTTTCGGTGACGTCATGTTTCGGCACAAACCTGTTCGAAGAGACCGAGCTGTCCCTTTTCGTTGATGGGCAGCGCCATGCACTCGGCCATGGCACACACTCCCTTGATGCGCCAGGTGTCGTTCACACTGTAGAACTCGCCGTTGTTGACGGAGAAGCACCGGCCCGGGAAGTCTGCGTGAAAACAAAGGTTTAAGTCCTTGGCGACGAGTCGGGAACGCCTTGATTTATAGGAGGAAGACTTAGCACGGCATGACTTGCAAGCCCGGGGATGCTCGGATCGGACTCGACCTTGCCTGACCGCTCCGCGCTGCTCTTTCACAATCATCCCTTCGGTTACTCTGCCTTTCAGTTTACATCAACTGATCGCGTTCGCTGCCCCAGCCTGTACACCCCAAATGCCACCGACGGCGAAGGGGACTTATACAACAAACCACCAAATGTCAACCTATACTCAGTTCGTGCGAGCAGTGGGTCGACGCGTGTGGAAAATGCAAGAACAACGCGACCACAGCGTACCAATCACGACCTTGCGGTGTATGCAGCCGCGGCTACTAGAGTAGGGAGTGCGCTGCGGGTCTGCGCGCCGGCTGTCACCACCGACTCACCTCTCAGGACGTCGGCCGGGATCGTGCGCACGAACACCTCTCCGCCGCCGGGCGTCGGCAGCTTGGCCAGCACCTCCTTCAGCTTGGGGTCGACGGCGCCCTGGCCGCGCACCAGGACGGCCATGCCGACCGCCACCAGGGTGATGCCAACGCTGACCAGGGTCTTCATGCTGCTCTCCTGCCGGGCCAGGTCCCGCACGGTCAGACGTGTCGGCGGGTGGGTGGAGTGCTCGCGGCCACCGCCCATAGCGTGGAAGCGGACAGCGGGGGAATTACGCCGGGCCTGCTCTTGATGAGGCGCCTGCCCGAAGGTCGCTCGTGGCAAAACCCACAGAGATCAAATCTAGCAAACCAGTCGCGCGTGTTCCTATCGCCTTTTCCTATTTTCTTGATAAGCTGTTGTCCATTTTCGGTCGTCCAAAAAACTCGGCCGCCGCGCCGCGGAACATGCTGCATGCAGGCCACTGCCGTGCACCCCGTGCAGGAAAGCGGAGGATGGCGGCCGCTGACAGACCGGCCTCGACTCGGGGGCTCTGCCTAACCCAAGTCCAGTGACGGCCGGGTGGGGCAGGCACGGGAACAAAGACCCATTCGCCGTCGCCGCGGCAGGCGGGCTGCGTCGGCCCAGCGACCTTGCCACTCCCGCTCTGCCCCGCTGCCCACACGGCAGCACGCGCTCGCAGGAAGTCGGGCGGCCGTGGCTGGGGCGTGGCGACCTTGAACAAGTGGGTCCCCGGGCGCCGGTGCAGTTACTTTCTAGCGGCCGGCGCCGCTGCCGTCGCCCGCACACGGCAACGACCGTGATGCAAGCGAGGTGCGGCGACGACGGTGTTGGCCCCGCCGCCCCGCTCCGCCGACCACATTACAACACTGCGCAATCAGCGATGGCAAGTGGAAAGGCACCGCCGGAAGAAGGCTGACACTGCGATATGGGGTGCAAGGCAGTCAAACTAACTGAGCAATGTGAGGAGGGGCTCAGTCCAGGGCACTGGGTGACGTGGCGTCCGACGGGTTTAGCGATGTTTCGTTGTTTGCTTGGCAATCTGTCCGTCCCCTAGATGCGTTGGCTAGAAGTTTTCCTGGTATCTACTTGCGTTAAGTAGGTGCAATTCGCCGATAAGCTTGTTTGAAGGTCGCCCCCATCCAAATGCACCAAATTAAATTGAAAATAGGAGTAAAGCCAGCTATCATTTAACGACGTACGTGACTCAGAAACAGATCCGCAGTAACCGGCGGAGGAGCGAAGCAATGGATCAAGCATAATCATGGGTGAGGGATCAAACATGCAACGAAATTAAAGCCAAAAAGCTGCCGAGCGATGCTGCTGGGCGCACACACGTTCCCAGAAGAGATGATACCCCGGCTAATGTGGAGAGTCCCGGGCGCTTATGTCAGTGCTACGTTGCTGTGAGGTAATGGAGTCTTCTGGCGGATCACTGCCCCGCGTGTCTCCTTCAGCCAAGTAAGAATACAAGTCGAATGACTTTGTAAGAAACATTGCACTTAAACATTTGTAAGCTTGCTAGCATGAATGAACATTTCACGCGCTTACATGATAAGCCTTTGATTATATTCAATATTGAGTTAAGACTTCCGTCGGGAAGTTCGGCACCGGCAACACTATACGGAATCCATATTGAGTTAAGACTTCCGTCGGGAAGTTCGGCACTGGCAACATTATACGGATTTCATGGGGGCATACACTAGATTCATGTTCTGTGGCGCGTTGTGCATTAGTCTTGCAGCTACCGTCGGTACAGTCAACAGCCCGCTACGTTGATGTTAGTCTTGCACCTCCGGATTACTTAAACCTATTCCAGAACTCATTAAAAGCAATCTGGTGTAAATTCGAATTTAGATAAGACAGTAGTAATAGCCTTTTCCTCCTAGGAAAACCAGGAAAATGGAGATTGTTTCGGCAACGAGTGCTTATCGAAACAAAGCAGAAGTCAATTTCGTTCCATTCTCCTAGTTTTTCTGCGAGGAAGAAGGCTACTACTACTGTATTATCTATATGCCTAATGTTCCTCGTAAACTCAAATCTAGCGCCGGGAACAGCCGTGTAGTGAAGGATCAGCAAACATTTAGGATAATGAAATGGTGCAACTTTTACGCTAAATATATATGTATATATTTATCTTACTTATGCATTATGATTGCATATGTATATATATATACATACATACATATATATATATATATATATATATATATATATATATATATATATATATATATATATGACGATGCACCTAACATCCAGTCGGTGAATATAAGATTATTTACTGAATCATATTTCAAATGCGCTGCTCATATTAACTCCGCGAATTTAACTTTGGTGTACATTAGCTTCTAGATATGCTGTTCACTGATGCCGCAAAAGAAGTAACAAAGGGTTCGCTCTCTTAAAAAACATTCCCCTTTCCATTTGGTTAAAAAGATTCAAAATGATTCCCGATAGAAAGTCAGTGCGAAGCGGCGATGATTCACAACAGCAGGGCGGCAAAGAGCTATGCTGTAAAGCTCTGCAGTACCAGCACAGAGCACCAGTCATCGGGCCGGGAAGCTCGCGGCACCGCGGTGCACTGACGTCGTCACTTCGCGATCACCACTGCCACACTGCCACTTACCTCTGCTCCCAAGAGTTGACTGCGCCGGCCGGTCAGGCTGGGGCCGTTTTATAGTGGACGGGCCGGGGCGCCGCCGTGCCTCCCGTCCCTTGGCGCGGCCCCCCCCCCCCCTGCCCCCGCCCCCGAACCGCCGCGGGCCCGGCGGCCACGGAAGCCGGGCCTCGCACCAGCCGCGGTGTCGGCCAGCGGACGGGTCGGAGGCAGTACCGCCGGCTAGGCCAGCGGATAACGCCTATGGGGAATGCGTCCAGCAAAAGAATGTATCGGAGATGGTCCAAAAAAGTGACGCTGATGCGCGTTCACTTTTCCCGTTCGCTAACGCAACATGTGATATGGGAAGGCAAGCCGTGATTGGAAGACATGCGTGCCGGCTCCGCATTTTTGAATTGGAGCATCCCACCTTTTTTGCGTTTTTAACGTATTGTTGCATCAAACGCCTGTCATCTGATCAATAATTTGTCTTTCTCGAAATCCTTCTGAATATTTCAAAATTCATATCTGAAGTAGCCGATCCTGGGGGAGAAATCTCAGTGGACACCCTGCTCACCACTATGGGTGTAACACGTTTCATTTGCCTTGCTTTTGCCAATGGGTGTGTTCTGTAATTACTGCAACACACTGTGTCAAATTGTCTGTGTAATAAAGGCAACGAAACTAGAAACGCTCTTTTTCAACAAAAGGACGT